TAATAGAGATTGGGTAAAGCAAGAAAGTCTCTGCTCCACACAACTCTTTAGGGACCAGACACTTTCAGTATTGGACTATCTCCTCTAGGTTCTTAGGATCCATTCTTTTACCTGTCACTGAAATAAAAGAGAAATAAAGATTTGTTTAAAAGGATCATTGGCCAAGAGGTTGTAGTGGACTACCTGTTATGAGAAGCTTTTCCTTGCTAGCCGTTTTGGTTTATCACCCGCCAGTAGCCTGGGCTCTGCCGAGTTGTAGTCCCCAAATAACACACAAGACGCTGTATTAATTATGAAGCTGTTGGCCTTGCTTGTTTCTTACTGGCTAGCTCTGACTTAAGTAATTACCCCATAATTGTTAATCTAAGTAATCTAACCGGAGAATAGTTCTGGGCTTCCTACCCCATGGCGGTTACATCTCGAACTCCTGTGTTTCTCCTTCCCAGAATCCTCCAGGACTCCTAGTCCCACTTATCTAGATTCCTATTGGCCAACAGTGCTTTATTAACAAATGTACAGGACTTCCCCCATCATTTCCTCTTTTCTGTTTAAACAAAAGGAAAGGTCTTAACTTTAACATAGTCAAATTATATATAACAGAACAGTTATCAAGTAAGAACATAGTTATAATATTTTAGCAAGATTTAAAGAAAATATCATCCATCCCATCCTTGTGAGTCCAAAGTTCTATATTTAGCTCATCTTTTATCATAACTAAGGAAAACTATAATTATAACTATCTGTCTTCAACTCCATCAAAGACCACAGAAGGATAATATATAAACACTAGGATTGACAGAGGTATCTTACTGTCTGGACAGTCACCCGAAGTTCCTCTGTAACGTTGGGGCATCCATCTTCAGCCCATAGGCCACAATGTGTCTGGAACACTTCTCAGCAAAGCAGGAAATTTCAAACTGTCCATCTGCATTGGCAGTCTGTCAGTCGTTTTTCCGTGTCCTGGTAGACTCTTCCATGAAACAAGAACCCTGTAAGACTGAGTTCAGCAGTCACTTTTCTGTGGGTCCTGCATGTCCAGATTATACAACAACAGTCAAGCAGTCTAGGCAAGAGCAGTTTCTTACCCAAATAGCTAATCTTGCCATGTTGAAAATAAACTCCATAACGAGTTTCTTCGATGCCCATCTCAGATATAATTGGTGCTGCCAGGAGCAGACATTTCTCATAGTCAAGAAAAACCCTAAACCATTTTAAATGCCATTTTCTGAAGGTCTTTGAAAGGTTTGAAGACTATCCATCTCAAATATATTTCTGTATATCTAGAAAACCTAACTTACCTAACTATAAATTCTATTATAAGTAACTATCTATAGTCTGTATTCAATTATGCATTACGTTTTAAAAGATCAGTATAAGCACAATACTTAATCAAGAGGAGAAATATACACATCACAAAATTGACCTTGAATTTGTATCAATAAATGAAAAACAATACCCATACCATAATTCCCCTTTTGACCATTAAAAAGACATTGGCTGTGATCATTAACCAATTATAAACAATCCCATTTAAATGAAAACAAAGATTTATAAACAAGATGGGAATTAGGACGTCGCTCATTCCAAACTGCTTCATTCCAAACAGGGGGTGCTGTTCATACCATGGGGATCATGACAAAACTCAGAAACCTGTATAAGTCCGTATTTCCGGGGTCTGTAAAGCTGCATCATCTTAGCTGTTTCAGTTGTTGGAACACCTGGTCCACTGCTTCCGGGGGTCTTGGTTCATCAAACCACAGAAGCCTGGAAGGAATCTTCAGCTTTTCATTTTCTGTAGAAACATAAGTAAAATCTCCTTTCCCAAGTAACATATCATTATACTTAAATTTTGAAGTCAAGGCATTTTCAAAAGACAGAAGTTGGATTAATTTAGCAGCATTTATAATCAAGTGTACTTTAGTAGCAGTTCCTTCCTGAGCAAGCAAAAAACTGAAAAACACAATAGCGTACAGTATCCAGACTCTCTGTGTATTTTCCATCTTTACGTGGCTTATTTATTTATGTATTATTACTTTATTTATTTTACTTTTATTTATTTTTCTCTGAGACAGGGTTTCTCTTTGGAAATCCGCCTGCCTCTGCAGCAAATCCTACGGCGTGCTTTTCTATTTATTTACCACTTTGTCGTTTCATTTTCTCTCTCAGTCTTATGTATATTTTTAAACACACTGTAAACCTTTAGAGGTTTTGTTCACCCAAGTCTGAATTTACTGTAAATCTTTACGTTTTTCTGGCCACGTGTCTTATCTGTAAAACTGCGGCTGTTTTAAACTGACTTTTTTTTTCAAGATGGCGGGCGTAAGCGTGACTCCAGCTTACCGCCTCAGTCCATGTTGACATCCAGCAAAAGCTGCCACTTCCAGCTGTACATACACACCTTTCAATCGTTAACAGAGTCTCTTAAAACAACCTTGCTGGGTTTTTTTTCTTTTTTTCTTTTTATGCCGAGTCAGGAAGACTCTGGTAAGCTAGGCACGTGAATCTCGGCTTGTCGATAGCAAAACAGAGCCCACCTGAGAAAATGCTGCTACCAAAAATCTGTGCTTCTCTCCGTTCTTCTGTTTCTAAAATTCCTTTAAATCTTTTGTTATTTTGCGTGGAAATTCAATCCCGCTCCTGACAACCATTCTGTTAAGAGAAGCTTTTTTTCTGGTTCTAGAGCCGCATCAGTCCCAAATAAACTACCTAAGCAGTTTCTGTTAAATGACATCACCTAACCACAGAACAATGATTAGGAAAAGTGTGTCAAGTGGGGATTCAGATAGAATTGAAATTTCAATACATAGTAGAATTATATTTTATATGTTTCTTCTATTGAGCATCAAATACCTACTTTATGCCTTCCACAGAAGAATAGAATATTTTCATCAGCAAAATTATCCAGAATGTGTCCAGGCATTAGACGAGGTCCATAGTTCAGTATTTCTGAATGATACTGCCTACTATCATGACTGTAATGTGCTTTTTCTTTTAAGTTTAAGGAAGCCAGGTACAGCTCAAAATGTTATTTCCTTCAATGGCAAGTGGCCATGGCATTAAAAGAAGGATAACCATGAAGAGAGTCCTCATTCAGAATGAGTAAATGGGGCCTAACAGTCACTGGTGCACAGGAAACATGGAAGATAGCAATGCTTTCTCATTTGAAAGCAGGAATTCTTCTAGGACATGAATGCATGAAAGATCTCTGGATTTGCTCTTTTTGGTTAATAGGGATACATGAGGAAGTGGAATAAAGAGACGTTTGTTTTCACATTGTACAGAGACTGGATCTTCTTGCTCCTTGACTCTATAGTGAATTAATCATTTGGATGTTCAAATCTCCTGTTTTCAATGTCAGGGTGAGAATAGACCTGGATCTGAGTCATTTATATATTAGGTGGACCAGAAATTTAACTGAAAACCAGCATCTTCATGAGTATATGGAAAGGAGCAATGCATTTCCAACACTATTTGTATTATCTTGATAAAATTAAGGGACTATTGGTTGTTTTCTCGAAGGACAAAAAAATCTCTGTAGTTAGATGCAAATCACATTGACTTACTGATGTTATAATAACTAGTGACTTTGACATCTGTGTAGAATATCATTGAACAGCTTAGTCAAGAAGTGCCTGTACTGCATTTTTAGAATAATTATTAGTGTCCAGACAGAGAAAACTTGTACAGGAGAGAACACAAATATTGTGCACATCCCATAGATAAGTACCTGCAGCACGGATATTTATATGAGTTCAATAGAGTCTTGTTCATAGATAGTGGACTATTTAATATCCTTTGCCATTAATTTTCCATCTTGATCATACAGTGGTCAGTGTGCTTGATATTTGATATTCAATAAGTCCTCATGTTAAATGATGCTTATTGGTTCTAGGCGGCTTCGATCATAACTGAGATATAAGAACAACAATTGCACATAGGTGTATGATCTACTCATATAATGTATTACTGGCAATAGTTAGGATAGGTAAATGGTTTATAGTTGATTAGGTCACCCAACATGGAAAGTTTCATGTCCTGTTATGGGTCTGTGGCATCTCTCAGAGATTCGCCAATCAGACAATGGGTAAATTTTAACAAATTAGGGGCTTTCCTCAGATACCTGCACCAAGAATGACATGCACTTAGCAACAAGTCTGCATCTGTCAGTGCTCCTAAGTTATAGCACCTAGCATTTTAGGCCAGGGCTTATAAAGGAAATATAACAACAACTGGAAAGACGATTTGGCTGCTAATGACAAAAAGCTTAAAGTCTGTCTTCAGGAAGCTCTGGGGACAAAACCTGATTTCCAATGGGAAAAATTTTGAGGACATGGGTGTGAATTTTGCTATTGTCAGCTCCATTTTTTTCAGAGTCTTTCATATCTGGAAGCTGCATATTTCTGGAATCTCTACAAGGTTTAATATGTGGACCACATGAAATTAATGGGCAGCCAGTAGAATGTTTTAGATTTCATCCGTCTGGAGAAAATCCTATCCAGTCTTAGTAACAGAAGGAAGGGTGTAAAGTCAGCAATAGAGACTGGAGTTAGACTCATGGGAACTCCCATGCAAAACTCATAGCTTCTGTTTGTGTGAACTCCCTTGGTTTTGGACTAGGGTACGCAATGGTAATGGTGTGTATTTGCACATGCACATAAGCACAGCATCAATCTTTCTCCCTGTCTTTCTTCTCATCTCTCTTTCCTTCTCTCTGTCTCTCTCTTTGTCTCTCTCTCTCTCTCTCTCTATATATATATACATATACACATATACATGTATATATATATATATACACACACAATGTCCAATTTGTTTCTCATTTAGGTTTACTCTTTTAGTTTCCACATAAGCTTTGTCATCATGTTCATTAGTCCACACCCTTGTTTCAAGCATTCATGCCCAGATTGCTTGGTGTTGCCTTTTTGTCTAGCCTCGACAGATCATTGCACTGTCCTGATTTAGAATGGTTCTAATGTGACTAAGACTGCAAGGCATTCATTTCCTCCTGCGGTGGATGCGGACGCCAGGAGGAGAGCCCCTGAGCCAGGAGCTGGGAGCTGAGGCGCAGAGAGCACGTAGCGACTCCGAAGATCAGCCCCAATGAACATGTCAGTGTTGACTTTACAAGAATATGAATTCGAAAAGCAATTCAACGAGAATGAAGCCATCCAATGGATGCAGGAAAACTGGAAGAAGTCCTTCCTGTTCTCTGCGCTGTACGCTGCCTTCATATTTGGTGGTCGGCATCTGATGAACAAGCGAGCGAAGTTTGACCTGCGGAAGCCGCTAGTGCTCTGGTCGCTGACTCTGGCCGTCTTCAGTATATTCGGTGCTCTTCGAACTGGTGCTTACATGGTGTCCATTTTGATGACCAAAGGCCTGAAGCAGTCAGTTTGTGACCAGAGTTTTTACATTGGACCTGTCAGCAAATTCTGGGCTTATGCATTTGTACTCAGCAAAGCACCCGAACTAGGAGATACGATATTCATCATTCTGAGGAAGCAGAAGCTGATCTTCCTGCACTTGTACCACCACATCACTGTGCTGCTGTACTCGTGGTACTCCTACAAAGACATGGTGGCTGGGGGCGGTTGGTACATGACTATGAACTATGGCGTGCACGCCGTCATGTACTTTTACTATGCCTTGCGGGCTGCGGGTTTCCGCGTCTCCCGGAAGTTTGCCATGTTCATCACCTTATCCCAGATCACTCAGATGATGATGGGCTGTATCATTAACTACCTGGTCTTCAACTGGATGCAGCATGACAATGACTAGTGTTACTCCCACTTTCAGAACATCTTCTGGTCCTTACTCATGTACCTCAGCTACCTTGTGCTCTTCTGCCATTTCTTCTTTGAGGCCTACATCGGCAAAGTGAAGAAGACGGCGAAGGCTGAATAGTGTCGGAGTTGAGGAGGAAGACATAGCTCAGGGTCACCACGAAAAATAATAGACAAAAGAAAATGGCACAAGGAATCACACATGGTGCAGCTAAAACAAAACAAAACAAAACATATATATGAGCAGACACAAAACCCGAGGCAGCTTGGGAGTAATGATTAGCTTGACTTAACCCAGTAAGTTTATGATCCTTTTGGGTGAGGACTCACTGAGCGCGTCTCCATCTCAAAGTAGTATTGCTGCTGAGGGACCCCTTCCCTCTTACCTGTCAACTCTAGAACACCCTTGACCCAAAGGGAGCCACAGGCAGAGAGATTAATGGAAAACAAGCAAAACACTATGGGAAGAGGTGGAAATCGATTCAGCGTTTTTTTTTCTCTTAAGGATAAAGGCGTTCCCCTTTTCAAACTATGCGAGCACACACACACACACACACACACACACACACACACACAGACACAATCCTTTGTATCTTTTCAACATGAAACCAGAGCTGGTAGAAAAGATAAACATGGAAGAGACACAGGGTTTCGCAATGATTTTGCAAAAATCAAGACCTTCTAAAGAAAGGTTAGCTAGTAGCCCCTTGATAAAAGATGTCTTAATTATTTTTACTGCAGCTGAAATTAAAAAGATAGATATTTTCCCCTTCACCACACAGCCTCAGGCTACTGAGTTTGCTACAACCAAACAGAGGACAGTACTATGTGATACTTTATTTCTGGGACAGTGGAAACCATGCATCCCAAATCCCAAGAAGGTGGTCCCACGGCAGAGCTGAGCGTCACACTGACAACTGTTATTTCTGCTCTTTGGTGAGGTTTGAAGCATCCTTTGTTCGGTTGCCCAGGGCTTTAGGACAGAAGAATAAATGCAGAATTGAAGGATACAAGCTCACCCAGTTGACTTGGAAATGGAATCTTGTACTATGTGTAATGAAACTCAGCCAATCACCACTGAGCTGGAAAAGGGGGAAGGACCATGGGAAGAGATGGGAGCTGAAGATTCATCCAGGAGACAGATAATACGTGCTCCTCCCCTCCTCGTTTGACTTCACGCATACTCCTGGCTTTCCAGATGAGGCCCCTGTGACACGGTCCCATGCTTTCTATATTTCTGTGACTTTTCAAAAACAGATCTGTGGGGCTCTGCCTGATTTGGGGTAAACACTGTGTGTCTGCATCTTCTGCATTTGCTCCCTTAGCAATGCAGAGGTGTATGAAGTGCCCTCTGCTGGCCAAGTGAGAAACTTCGACAAACACACTTCATAATAGATTGAAAGTAGTTGACCACAAAGGGCCTGTGTAGATTAATCCCTAAGTTTTAAGTGCTGTCAAACACCTGTCATACATTTGACCAAATCAGAAAAGAACCTCTCTACTTCAAGTAAGCTTCATTAGTTTTTAAAGTGACTTTCACTTGGGAACTCGGAAAGTCAGTGTATTAAGAGCCATATTTAAAAAGAAAGAAAAAGAAAAGGAGAAAGTTAGACAATGTTATCTGTAATATTTCAGTCCTCTACAAGCCAAATAAATATGTCGATGTTCCTAATATTTCAAAGACGCAATTATGTAAAGTTGTTCAATGTGATATAATAGTATTCTAATTGGTTAAGTAGCTTAATGATTAGGCAAACTAGATGAACAATTAGAGGCTACTACACTGCGTAGATTATACACTCATGACCACGTACGCACAGAAGTATGAGGTACACGGAGCTGCAAAGCCCAAACGAATAGTATCACAATTTTTGGCTAGCAGAAACTTTCACTTAGCTTCCTTTACTTGAGACTGTACAGTAAAAGGGATTTTTTTCAAATTATTTTTATATTATTTTAGCTTTAATTGTGCTGTCATTCATGAAACAGCTGCGTAGCCTTTTTGTCAGATTGCGTGGGTGTTTTCAGCGGCTTGTTGATGTGTGGAATTAGGAAAGAATAAAATTTGATTCCATTCTGTGTGAATGGGTTAAAGAGTGAACAAAGAATCCGTGTAGGTCAAGTAGTGACTGTAGGAGGAGGCTAATAGTCACACTGGGCTGGGGGCAGCTATTACACCCACGTTAACATTGTGTGGTGGCTTCATGTTGACTGACAGATGAGATATGATTGGAAGGATGCATTGCTACCGGAGCAGAAGGTATAGAGTCACTACGTCAGGTGGAGTTTTGGGATGTAATTGTTTGAGCTTTGTCAGTGCACAGTAGTGTACAATAATAAGCCTTTCCCTTGCCTTATAGAAGAAAGTGAGCAAAATAATGAAAATGAAGACGAGGTCACCTGTCGGCTGACTTGAATCTAATCAGGGCCAGCCTGAGGGTCATCTGGTTGGTTCAGTTTAATTCAGATATTTATCGTAGAATACAGGTTACAATATGGAAATAAGCATAAACTTAAAAAGACTAAGCTATGCTTCCAAAGCACTTTAATCTTCATGTTCGCTTCATGCTGTGTTCACTTGTAAAATAACTTAGAGTTTTTGTTTGAAGGATAAATATCTAATAAATAGTTTCTAAACTAGCTAAATATATCTAAAGGCATTTCCAGTGTTCATCATGGGAAGAAAAAGCCACATTAAAAAAAACAATTCTGATATAGGCTCAGCACACTGTTTTTTAACATATCAGCTTAGCTGCTTTAAGTCTATCGAGATACGAGGCTGGATCACTGGCCTATGACACATCTGAAACCTGCCAGAGAATTGACTGCCACGTAGATAATGTTGCTGTCAGTTAACATTCCGGGCAAGCCAGTTTTTTAGCTGCCCCACTATGCTGCAATAGATTATCTTTCTATTGAAGATTTCTCACTGCATTCCAATCCCAGTGTGGTTAAAAACATTATTCCTGGTTTAAATGAAACTAATCCTTGGCTTCATATAAATGTGGTTTCCTACACTAGGTGTGAGCATCAACTCAAATGTGTGAGTTTGCAATGAAATTCTAGTGAGAAACACTTAGCAGTAGATTTTATCTGGACCTTCTAGTGTCACTTATGAGAAAAGAACAACTATTACTATTATTTATTGATCGTATTTATATCCGAGGCCAGGCCAAAGTATTGAATTAAAAATCACAGTTCTCAAGGCTATTATTTCAGGCAGTCCATATCATCTCATTTACCCCCACCTCAAAGTTTTCTAATCCTACTTCATAACAGAAATTTGAGGCTAGAGGGAAAATGCATATGTATTGCTTCAGGAGGAAGCAGGTTTGTTTTGTCTCTAGCAGTCTTTATCAATGTGATGAGACCGACTAATCACTAGTAATGCTGAAGCTTCATGTGGTGGAAAGTCTACAGGAGCCTAGGGGAACTCTTCCAGGATACTCACAGATTGTTTTGTTATTGTTTGTTTTAGGTCAATTATATCTTGATGATGAGATAAGTCCTGTCACAGTAGAGTGAAAAGCACTATGACACTGGGGTAGAATGTTCTGGAAGTCTGGCTATATTCCCAAACTGCTCAATTATCTGGGAATATCTGGTTACTATCTTGCCCTAATAGAAGGAGCTCTTACTCCACAAGAATGCCAGATACAGACACAAGTGAGCCCTAGCGCATGCTGAGAATCTTTTCCGGGGAGATATGATGATCCTTGAATTAGCATGGGACTTCGCAAGTTTCAAGGGAGTTCCTAGGAGAATGGAGCAGACCAAATCAGACTCCACCCCTGGAGTTCTGAGCTTTGAGTTGCAAGTTCAGGATCCTTGTGTAGCACATTTCCTTGGGAAAGATGTCAGTTCTGGAGAGCAACAGTGTGAGAATATCATGATAGCCCAGAACTTTCTAGCTTTCAAATGCGTGTCTTTTTCTGGTCTTTGTTCTGATAATAAATATTCTGCTATCAGTTTGGGACAATTGTAAAAAAAAAAAAAGAATGGTTCTAATGTAAAGAAAATCTCCAATGTAGCCAGAAAAGATAATTCTACTGCCTCTCAGTGAATATATTAACCAAGTAAATGATAACAGGTTATGGAACCACAGGCAAAAATCACCACATACTCTTTTAATCACAAAAACTAGGCATCTGCTTATTGTAAAAGAATTTATAAGCAGATGACAGGATTCTGGACACGACATGAGGACAGCAGTGTAAAAGATAACCTAACAATCACACCTGGTGATTCTTCTCTGGTCCCAAATGCCAGCATTAGGACTTAGGGTGAGGGCATAAGGGACAACTGTGGACTGGTGTCAAGCTAAAGCCAGCATTACCCAGGATGCTTTGCTGCATTTGTCTCATTAAACCTGCAGTTCAGAGTCACTTTTCTGCAGACTCAAAACTCCTTCACTAATGCTTACACCAGTGTTAATGGTTGCCCTACTAGGACATCCCTTGGGGGAGGGATGATACAGCATCAAGACTCAAGCAGAGAGACTCAGTGAGTAGCAGAGCAGGCTGCAGACTCATTTATCAAGGAAGTTAAGCCTGCATTTATATGCCCTTCCAAGATCCCATTGCCTCAGACGGCTGACTCTGCTGTATGTCCCTTTTTCCTTTGATGTCTCTGGGTCAGGGTCTCTCCTTCAGCAGTCTCTGGGAGTTGAGACAGGCTTTGTGGTTTGGCTCAGGGAGGAAGTTCCTGCAGTTCATGGGCATGCTCATATAAATGAAAACAGAAACACACACACTTAGAGAAACACACAGACACACATAAATATTCACACACGCACACAGACACATTCTGACAGATACACATAAACACAGAGATGCACTGCAGAGACTCACACAGACACACAGAGGTTTACACACTCACATACACACAGACACTTTCATAATCATACTCACATAAGATAGAAGGATAGAAGCCCATGCAGAGAGTGCCAGTGTCTAAGTCCCATTCTCCATCCATTGGACAGGCAAGGTAAGGGTGGGCCTGTTCCCAGCCTGCCTTCTGGGGCCCTGCACAGAATTACCAGAGACCTAGGGACTGTACACTGTCGATCCCATACCGATGGGATTCAGCCCACCTAAAGACTGCCAGCACCATTGCCTCTTTCTCCACACGTGGGACTAGATAAGCCTGGGTCTGTTTCTGGCCCGCCTTCCAGGGCTCTGAACACAAGTAACCTAGGCCAGGGGACTGTGCATTGCGGCTTCCATACCAGCAGGAGTCAACTCACCCAGATTCTGCCAGCATTCTGATCTCTTTCTCTGCCCACGGGACTAGGTATGCCTGGGTCTGTCTCCAGCCCACCTTCCGGTGCTCTGCTGGCAACCAGCTATGACCTGGGAACGGCACACTGCACATCCCATCCTGACTGGAGTCAGCCCGCCCAGAGTCTGCCAGTGTCCAAGTCCCATTCTGTCTACAGGGACAGGTGAGGTAAGCATGGGCCTGCTTACAGCATTTTTGGAGCCCTGAACAAAACCAACAGAGACCTGGGGAGTATGCACTGCATATTTCATCAACCTACCTAAGGGCACTCTCTCTCTCTCTCTCTCTCTCTCTCTCTCTCTCTCTCTCTCTCTCTCTCTCTCTCTCTCTCTCTCTCTCTCTCTCTCTCTCACACACACACACACACACACTAACAGGCACACATGTGTGTATTCACACTCCACAAGGTGAAAGAATTGAGTAGGAAGGAAACAAATTTGTCCCTGGCTTTGGACTTAGGTAAGAAAGAAGCAACTGTGTTCCTGGCTTGGGAGTAGCATAAACTGAAAACAAGAGAAAATATGATAGAAAACTGGGGGAAGCCAAGGAAGGCCTCACCCTCCCTGGGGAATGATGTGGGGATGGGTGGGGAGCTGGGGGGTTAAGGGGGGCTGGTGGAGGGACAAGGGAAAGAGGTAGGAGAGGGTGCTGGGATTGATGTGTGAAGCATTCATGTTTCTAATTTAAATAAAAACATATATTGAGGGAAAAATAAAACTGGGGGAAGTAAGAAAACCTCAGTGACTAGAGGTTGGAAAACAGAAAATTGATGAATGTCACTGATGAAGAATCAAAGGACCTACATATGGATATTTTTGACATGACAAGATGGCCTACAAGTAATATATTGAGAGGGTAGCCTATTGTTGTTGTTGCTGCTGTCAAAAAATACAACAAAGGCACAAAGGACTTTCAGAGTAAATTGCTCTATCCATAAACTAATCATTAGAAGACTCACGGAGGAAGAAATTATAGGGAGTGACTAGTTTTCATGTATAAGCTAAAGAAAACACATTGAATTGTAATAAAAACTCATTGGTTCTACTATGCTTTAGAATGGGGAAAACAACCCACATGGGAAAGCTTTGAATATCAACAGCAAATGAAAAAAATCCGTGTTCATGATTTTTGCCCCCAGGCTAGACTCTAAGTTGTGCATGCATACAAAATACAGTTAACTTGAATTATGCTTGAAATTTTGCCAGTGTATTATGCATAGTATAAAGTCACTATTGGATTCAGATTTTTTGTACCCTGACACTCCTGCTTTGAGTTCTCCTATGGAAAAAGACAGCTAACTTTATCTACACGT